AAAGCTGTACTGTTCTTTAGAAGTAGACTAGTGCTCTCAGTTCATTTTATTTTGGGAGGGTTTGATGCTGCAGCACCTACAGGAACCCATGACTTTCGGTTAGAGAAATGCACATACTTTCCTCTGGGTCCTCACTGGCTAGGATGCTGCTGGAAATCTCCTGTACAGCACTTCGTGACTCGGTTGTAGAGTGATGAGGTCCCAGGCGACTGTCCCGCTGGGCTTCCCACTCTTCACTGAAGCCACCATCATCGCTCTCTGTCACAGGGTTCTGTGGCTCACTCCCTGTGTCTTCAAGAAAAAACAGAAATCACAACTGTAATATTCGGAAAATTTTCTTAATACCTTTAAGAAAGTTACATGGAAACAGTAACTTGACTGTCGTCATAACTGGTTAGCTGGCTCCTACACCACAAAACATGGGCTGTAGCAGGGCCTGCTGACTGCTTACCCAATGGCCATTTCTCCCCTATTCCTGAGGGCAGTCCTGCTGTGTCTGGATTCCCACCTCTCACTCATGTGACTCAGGTGGCAAGCCCTGATCGATCCAACTCCAGCATTCCTCTTCCCAATGAAAGCTCAGAGGCTGTGGGTTTGGTACCAGTCAATGTGTGATGAGGCAAAGCCTGCTGGGAATTTGGGGGAAATTTTTCTCACTCTACTAACTGCCCCCTTTTTCCCCTGGATGTTGTCTTATCTGGATATGATGCCTGGAACTGTACTTGTTATCTTGTGACCATGAGGAGCAGTGGGCTAAGGACCAAGCCTATATTTAAGGATGGCACAGCAGGAAGACGGAAAGAACCTGGGCCCTTGATAATACTGATGAGCCACAAAATTAACCAACCCTACAAATGTCTACACCTCAGGACTCTGGTCATGTGAGAGAACACATTTCTTCTTGTTTAAAGCAAACAAGTTGGTTTTTCTGATGTTTGCAGCTGAAAGCTTTCTAACCACTCGTTTCTGAAAACTCAGCTCTGGCTTCAGTGCCTAAGTTATACAAGGAGACCACTCCTGCACGTAGGGAGGTGAGGTGGGGGGTGGGTAGAAAACGCATTCTTATGGGCTGTTCATTTTGTGATGACTGTCAGTCTGAAAATTGTGAGCATAACATGCGAGTCTTGAGAACCTTCCACATATCAAAAATATTTATAATACATTAAGTGGAGTTGATATTTTTTCTTTGTTTATAAAAGTGACAAATGTTCATAGCAGAGGTCGATTTACCATGAATAAATTAAGCCTGCACACTTCAGGCCTCTCCCTTGCATACATTTTTTCTGGGAGGGGTCCTCACAATTCTGTATTTTTTCTTAACCAGGTCACCACGAAATGGAATCTTCCCTGGTTCGGAGTTTGTGAAGTCATATAAGCATAAGGTTTATAAATAAAACAACAGTCCCTCTTCTGTCTCTTCCCTCCTCCTAATTCTCACTCCTACTTTCAAACTGCTCAGCTGTTTCCTTTGGTATTAACCTTCATAATTAATTATAAATAGCATGTTCATAGTGTTATATCTTGATGTTTTTATTTTAGGTTAAAACTCAATCACTTCCTCCAGGGAAATGAAGCATAGCTTTCCATGCACACATGGAAATTTACCTCTCCCCATATTCTCAATTCATCATAATTTTATGTTAACTTCAATTTTTATACTATCACAATGCAAAAAGTATTCACAACTAAAATACTTGGCTACAACCAGAATATACTCTAATTACATTTGCTTCTTCTGTATGACTTTTTGTTTTCTCTGGAAAACTGCCTAATTTTTTCCCCTTAACTAATTTTCTATGTATTACGACTAATTCATCCTCAAACTCTTAACAGAGTTCATAGTCAGGTAACCTCCCAGCTCTGTTCTGTTCTTTCCTTGTGTAGACATCCCTCCTGGAGGCCTATGCCCTTTTGCCCCAATGTGACTAGTTCCTCCAGTGTTTTCCCAGGGGCATTTGGAACTAACTATGCTGGAGGAGTTCTGAGTTGTAATACCTGGAAGTCACGATTAGCATTTAGTGGGTGAGGGGCCAGGAATGTCAGATATCCTGCAGTGGGAGAAGTCCCACATGACTACCAAGAACTGCCCCACCCAAAATACCAACAGCACTCCCCTGAGGACTCTGCAGCTTATCCAGCTCCTCACTTCAAGGCCCCTGCCCAGGTCGTTTCCTCTTCTGGAAAACCTTCCATTCTTCATCTAGTATCACTTCCCCAAGGAAGCCTTCCTTGACTTTCCAGAATAAATGAAATTCTTCTACCTAAACTTTCATAACAACTTAGACTTCTCCTTTATAGGACTTACCAACAACTGTATGAATTATCTGTTGAATGTTTGTGTCCCCCTAAATCAGTGGTTCTCAACCTTTTAGCCCTTTTAATACAGTTCCTCATGTTGTGACCCAACCATAAAATTATTTTCATTGCTACTTCATAACTGTAATGTTGCTACTGTTATGAATCATAATGTAAATATCTGATATGCAGGATGGTCTTAGGCGACCCCTGTGAAAGGGTCGTTCGACCGCCAAAGGGGTCGCGACCCACAGGTTGAGAACCACTGCCCTAAATAGGCTACAAGCTCCCCAGAACAGGGTATCTCGTTCAGTGCTATATCCCCAGTACCTAGCAAAATATCAGGCACAGTTAGGTGCTCAATCAACATTTATCAAAAGAATAAAATATTGACATGCCAAATAAACACACATACTCACATACATATAAACACATATACTCACAGACAACCTTTAAATTTGCTTTAGCTTAACACAGGTTAACATAATAACCAAACTTGTAGCAATTATTTCCAATATATTTCCTACTTCTCTACCAGGTCGACTGTGGGTGCAATATCACCTTGTTCCGCTGCTTTGCTCACTGCAGAATGAACCTGGAATCTTTGGGTCCCAAATAAGAATTCCCAGTTGAAAGTGTCCTCAGTTACCCAAAAGCTGAAAAAGCAGTTTTCTTGGCTCTATAAAACCTAACCCCTTCCTTTCCTGACAAACAGCAGCTCAGTGAAGGCCCTTTTCACTTCTCTCACCAACTTCTAATCTACTTCTGTTTTTCAGCTTCCTCATAAGGTTACCCGTTTGCTTTTCTTTAAAAAAAGTTTCCTTTCTTCTTGACTATTGATATTGTTTTGTTATTCAACTCTTTCTAATAACTTCTAACTTATATTCTCCTTAATCTATTCAGCAGTTTCATACGTGGGCCTATCCATCTCCCCTCTTAGGTCATCAGCCTCGTCCAGAAAGTCATGTCCTCCCAGAATGTTTTATCTTCTCAGTATAATCATGATCACATCTAAAATAAAATTACTTGTAAGTTGGTCTGGCCATGTCAAACAAGAGATTCTCATTTTCAACAGGTTTGGAGGGAAAGGCTACCTGTTCTTTTTAAAATCAGCCTCCACTTGAAACTTTCATACTGGTGTTAATGGTACGCAACGGCAGAAATTCTTAACCTAGGGTGTCTTGGCTGTACTATTGGGTTTGGACCATCTGGACTCCTTAATATTTATCTGTATTTTTACTGGGTATTACCACAGCTTTCAGGAGATTCTCAAAGGAACCAAAGAAAAAGGTTACAATCACCACTTTATAACTAATTGTTAGCCTATAAGATGACAATGACCTAAATAAACCCCAGGAAATTACCAAATAAAATTTACCTACTTTGTTCATTATAATTGGAGTTTTTGGATACCTTCCTTTGGGCTTCTGGGTCTCCTTTTGCCATATTCACCAACCACACCATGGTTGCTGTTGAGAAAGACAAAAGTCCAGGTAAGCACTGGAAACACAGAAGGGAAGTGCACGAATAGACAACAGGCCATCAGTTCTCTACACAAATCACCAATCTTTTTTTATTTTCTTTTAATCTTATTGTTGAAAGTATTACCTAGGTCATCCTTTTTCCCCATTAACCTCTTCCTACCAATCTTCTTAATGTCCCCTAAAGCATGCTTAAAAATCAGAACTAAATGCATTTTAAAAAACACAACAGGTTCTCTTTGATTCTGGCATATAAAAAATTCTGAAATTAAATGTTTACTGTAGTGTTAAAACTGCAGCTGCTATTGTAAAACTGCTCATCATCATTCACAGTCCCTGAAAAGTTACCAAAAGGAAAACTCTTCAGGCCAGCAAGATTCCACTGCAACAGTAGCTGGACTAGTTGAATTTCCTAAAATAGTGTGAATTCACGGATAAAAACTACTTCTTGGAACTAAATTAGAGGACAAAATAGAGTTCACAAGAGTATCATATTCTTATTATAATTCTAAAAGTGCATGGAATAAGTTTCCTTCATATCATGTGTCATTTCTGGGAATTTCGTTTTTTTTTAAATATATTTTATTGATTTTTTTACAGAGAGGAAGGGGGAGAGATAGAGAGTCAGAAACATCGATGAGAGAGAAACATCGATCAGCTGCCTCCTGCACATCTCCCACTGGGGATGTGCCGGCAACCCAGGTACATGCCCTTGACCGGAATCGAACCTGGGACCTTTCAGTCCGCAGGCCGATGCTCTATCCACTGAGCCAAACTGGTTTCGGCCATTTCTGGGAATTTCAATAATGCGAGCCTGTGTTACATATGCAGAATAAGAAAAAAATATATATACATAGATACATACATTCGTATCTCTGTCACATTTTAATTAAGAGATAATATCAATACTTTAAAATGGTGCTTCTCTTTAGAAAAAAAAAATAGTGCTTCTCATATATTTCATGGAACTAAAAATGGCATAGAATGGACAGACACTGGGGGGTAGGG